TTTCTTAAGAGGACTGAAGAAGCCTGTTCGAGGTAGCCAGTGGACGCTTCAGCAAGCTCTCCTTAAAAACTTCCTTCCAAACGCTGACTCCCCTGCGCCTCCGGGCATCAGGCCTTAAAGACCTCAAATGCGGACTGTTCGTTCTGTTTAACCAGATGAGCGGCATTCTGAGGCAAGTCTGTACGGCAGCTAACAGTGCCGTCGGTGTGCCAGGGTGTACGGTCGGTGCTTTATAGACGTCGATCCGCTTCATCCTCAGCAACCTCTCCTCACGTATCGTTACCCTCATTTTGCAGACTGGGAGCCTGAGGCTCTGTGGAGAGGTGAAGTCCCTTGCCCAAAGCCACGCAGCTGGCGAGGGGCACAGAGGCCTGTGGATGGAGGGGGCGGGTGGCCCGTGCTCCTAAACGCTGCTGTAACAGCCATTGACATCAGGATTGTTAAAAGGCCTGTAACAGGAAAGTAGTAGCTAGACTCAGACTTCCACAAAAAGTGACAAGTACGGTCATTTGGTTTCCAAGCCAAACTTCAGTGTGGTTGAACAGTTGTGGGCCTTGTCCACCCCCTGCATTTGCCCTAGTTGCCCATTTATCTGCCTCTCAGCTCAGACCCCAGACCCAGGCCTGGGGCCCGATGAGGTGTTAGAAGTGGGGCCGTGTGAGTGGGTGACTGCAACAGGGGAGTCACTAGCCCTCCCTCCCTCCCTCCCTCCGCCTCCCCGTCCCTCCCTCCCTTTCTTTCCTGCTCCAGTTACTACTTAATTTATGTACATAGCACGTTTTCGTACATCCCCAACCCCCCAAAAAAGAGCTAGTCCCGCACTTCTGGGGGATCCATTTCAGGCAAGACTTGGAGTAGAAGATGTATGTCCTGCCCACATCCTTCTCTTGTGGTGGCCATGGCTGGATCTGGCCCTGGAATGAACCTGGCAAGACTCGTGGGCAGAATGTTCTCGACCCAAAGTCTGGCAGCTTCCTGTCCCCTGGAGGCTGTGCCCAGCAGCCGTGGGCCATGAGCTCAGGGCGGCCGGAGCCCGTGCTGGTGCAGTGAAACTCAGCTCTGTCTCCGGCCTCCCCTCGCTGCCACCTGCTTCCCTCCAGATAAGAGGCTAGAAACACAAGAAGTCAGGCTTCTTTTTAGGAATGAAGTTCAGATTCAGGGGCAAATAGCTAGAGAATTTGAGCTTGAAGAACAAGCTGTGTTAATACAACGTGATCATTTCTAGCATTTGCTGCAGAGTTTGATCATTCGTGATTACTTTCTTGCTGTCTCTGTCTAGCAGTTGAAGAACAGGAAGTCCGAAGGGCCAGTGAGCACTGCGTTTCCATTCAGGGTGAACTCCTAAGAGAGCAGAGCTGCACTACCCTGGCCCTGGGAGGTCACACTGCCTGCTGCCCTGTGCCGACAGAGTGTGAGAAGGGCCTGGGTCCAGCCGGTTCTGAGGCGCACTGAATTCAGAAGAGGCGGAGAGAAACAAGTGTGAAAGAGCTGGCAAGTAGGAGCGAGGGGAAGAGGCCGCAGGAACAGGAAAGGGTGTGAGCGGTAGGCTTGGGCCCCTTTATGTGCCCGAGGCCGGACACCAGGCGAGCCGGGGCCTGTGCCGCATTCTGCTCAGCCTGCAGCTTGATTCTGGGCTGTGCGCAAAACAGCAGTGGCGCGAGTGGTATGTGAGGAAGAGCTCCTCTCCTCTGTGCCTCCCTCAGAATGCGGCCTAAGGAAGGGCGGGAGGATTCTTGGGGCGTTCGTAGTTGCAATCATCAGAGGACGCTGACGAACACGCAGTCGGATAAAACCATTGCTGAGGTCCCATTGTGTTACCTCAAGTCACCGGAATTTACCTTGTAGCCCAAAAGGCCCCCAAATTCGTCCAGGCCATGACTGACATGGCTGCATTTCAGGGGGAAACTCAGATCCCTCCCAGAGTGGGGGCAGTTAAGTGGACGGGTGTACTTTTTGCAAAGTTTGGTGGTTTGGGGGAAGCCATCGTAATTCTGCCGGATGTTGCAGTACACGTGCCGTGCGCCTGTCCTGGGAAGCAGGAATCCCACCCTGGTCTCCCCGCTGCTCGAGCACAGTCACAGTGCCCTCAGAGACACCCAGGGAGACATTGTGCCAAATGTCCCTAGATGGCCACTCGTCACCAGCTGTGTGGTTGACCGCCTGTCAAAGCCCTTACACCTGCCGTGGCAAAATCAGAGTCAGCAAGGTCAAGGTCTCATAAAATATAGGCACTTGGGGAAAATAAAAATTGTATTAATATATATGATTAAAATAGTAAGTGAAAGTTTCAGGCAGCCCCTACCCCACAAATCCCCACTGTTTAATCGCGAGGGTGGCCGTGCACGGGTGGCTGTGGAGTGGCCGCCTCAGGCGTTTGGGAGACCCTGCCCGCGTCGTCCGCTGGCGCAGATGCTCCCCGCAGCCAGCTCGGCTCCTTTCCGTGCAGCAGAAGCAGCCCTCCCTGGCTGGACGTGAAGCGCCCTTTGCAGTTGCCCGCTCCCCCTGGCTCTGCCTCCGTCCTTCCCACTCCCCCTTCATCTCACTTCCCTTCCATTCCCCTCCCCCCCTTCAAAATACAAGCTAGACCACTGTGTGACCTCCTGACTTACCACAAATTACGCAGGAGGTTACGGGCGTATTTTTTGAAGTCTGGTCTTCTAGCCCAGACTGTTTGAGGGGGTCCGTCTTACTGCTCCTTACTCCCTCCCTCGGTCCTTCCCTTGGTACCTGCCCTGTCTCCCAAGTCCACAGCGGGAGAGAACAGTAATTGTGGATTTCCCTCTGTGGAGTTGGGACAGAAGTAACAAGACAGTTGATATTATATTTTTGGTAACAAGTGTAAAGCAGTGTTATCTCAAAACCTGGAGTAAAAGATTGTCGCATATAAAATGCTAAAAAAAAAAAAAAACCTCAAAACCCTTGCTGTTTATGAGATGTGGAGAAAGAGAGAGAGGGTGGGGGGGTGGCCTGGGAGTTGGTCATCAGAGAGCAGGGAGAATGCCGAGAGAACTGTGGGAATAGCTCTTCGATCTGGAAGGTGAGCGGAAGGTTACGCAGAGGATAGGGCCTGCTGTGGCGTTTTCAGAGCTCAGACCAGGAAGGGGCCCAGGGCTCAGCACGGGGATTGAGGCTGGGTGCCCAGACTGTCAGGGCAGCTAAATAGAGGCCAGGGTCACAGTCTAAGTTAGGATTAGTTCAGCTGCCAGTGACAGGAACACCCAAAATAAACAGGCTTAAAAAAAGGTAGAAGGTCGCATGGAAGACCTGAAGGCTGGCAGTCCAGGGCTGGTGTAGTGGCCTCACCATCGTGAGGGACCTGGGTCCTCCCAGACCTATGGTGTGGCTGCTTCCTCGAGGTCAGGGTGGTGCTGCAGCTCCAGCCATCACCTCTCAGCATGGCAGTCCCACCCAAGTGGCGGTTCAACTTTCCTGGCCAGGACTTAGTCACATGGTGGCATCTCCCTGTAAGAGAGGGGGAGGTTGAGGAACATCACGGGAATAACCTCCTTAACTAAGAAAAGTCACAGACATTCCTCACGTTGGGGTGTTTGTTCATCCCCTGAGTGCAAGTGCTGAATGTGTTCCAGCATCGCTCGAGGGCAGTGGGGAAGGAGGCAGATGGGCTTCTGGTCTCGTGAAGCTCACAGTCTAGCAGGAGGCAAGACAGACAGTAAAGGAATAGCGGATATGGCCTGGCTGATGATCTGCATTCTGTCCTCAAGCCTTCCCAGTGCGCTGTCGTCAGATGTACCTGTACATAATTAATGACCGAAGCCGATGGTGTCAAACATCACTGCTAACGCCTGCGGGCGCGCGGGCCGCCAGCATCAGCATCTCTTTGATGGGAGTTCAGCTCATCCATCAAGCACTCCTGAGGGCCTGCCTCTGAGAAGAGTGGTGCCGGGAGGGGGTGGAGAGGTGAACGCTAGGAAGCCAGAGCCCCGCCTTGAGAGCGCGGGAGCCATTCTGCGGCGGTGCCCTCCTGGGCTGAGGGGAAGAGCCTAGCTGAAAATCCCATCTTCTTTCGTGGAGGAGGTTTGAGGGCTGTTTCCTGGTTCAGGTGCAGGGCAGTGTGATGAGGGTAGTTCTGTGATTCCTGTGGGCTTTTGAGCCCAAGCTGGGGAAGCTAAGGAAACCCAAGGACACTGCCTTTTCCTGTGCGCGTGACCTTCAGCCACAGTCCCTGAGCCTGGCTTTGCTGGGAACCGGGCAGGTGTCCAAGTTCAGTTCACATGCTGTTGTAGGCGGGTGTGGGTTCCTGGTCAAACCCGGAGCGAGTGCTGCCCGCCCGGAACTCCTGCCCTGCCGCTGTGCGGTGACCTAGACCAGTGATTCTCAGCCTGTCAGAGGGGAAGCGCCAGTTCTTTGTTTTGATTTAAGTTGCAGTTTCCAATCTGTCTTAAAAAATGAAATACTGGAAAAACGAAATTAAAAAGACAAAATACAAACTTAGACTTCTATTAGTAGACTCAAGAGACATGACATTCCTCTGTCCGATTGCTCTGAACGTTTCTAAAGGCAGACTTGGTTCCTGAACTGGCGTTTGCCAGGAGCACAGAGTTCAGAGCCTTCGCTCCCAGCCCAGGGACGGCACGTGGGGCAGCGCTGTCCTGCAGGCCCTTGACCGCGGGCCGAGGGGACTCTGTGCTGCCCAGCTCCGTGTCAGGACAGTCCTGGAGCAGACTGAGCAAGCTCCAGGGCCGAGATGTGCCTGGTGCCCCCTGCCCTGCTCCCCAGGTTTTCAGCTGCTACCTGAGAAGACTGGCCGACTCCCCTGTCAGAGTCCCCATGTGCAGGTGAAAATGTTACCACACACTTGCGGCCAGAGAAGTGAAAGGCCACAGCTAATTGTAACCATCATCCCGCTCCCCTGCCTGACCAAGGCTCTGGACATACACTGAGCTGATGAGCAAAGCAGCCGACGACAAGGCCGTTGCGAGCAGCCGGCCAGCCTGGCAGCCCAGGCAGGGCGGGAGGTGACTGCTGGCCCTGTGTTGCAGTTCTCCAAGGAGAGGCACGTCATGGACAGGACGCCCGAGAGGCTGAAGAAGGAGCTGGAGGAGGAGCTGCTGCTGAGCAGCGAGGACCTGCGCAGCCACGCCTGGTACCACGGCCGCATCCCCCGCCAGGTACCCGGCCCCTCGCGCTCGCGTGCACCACCCAGACCTGTGACCCTGCAGGATCACACGCCAAGGCCACTAGGAGCGAGCCCCAGTGCAGCCGAAATGAAATACTATGAAGTGCAGGGACTTAGCTGGGGCCTGTCTCTCAGGAGACCCTGGGAGGGGCTAAGGTCAGGATCCAAAGTACATTTCCCCGCGTCCAGGGAGTGGACGGAGGAGAAGCAGGCGTTCTGTGGCTGGTGAACACAGAGTGGGCAGGAGGCAGCACACGCAGGGTGGTGCCTGAGAAGTGTGAGGCTGGGCTGTGGTTCAGATAATTGAAGTCTTGGCCAGCTGCCTGCAGCTCATGCCCTTTGGAGCCTGCTTCCTTCTTAAGGCAGTGGTTTAATCAGGTGAAGAGAGGGATCATCAGGGCAGGTGGTACAGAGGCCGCCTGTGCCCTAGTGGGGCCCACGGTTATTCACTCTCCATCCCTCCCCTCCCGGGCCCCCAGCCCGGAGGTGGGGAAGAAGAGGAGCAGAACCACAGCCAGGATGTACTTGGTGTGATTGTCATTTTTATTTAATAGCATAGAAATTGAAAAATAAAATCAGTGCAGAACTGAGGTATAGAGTTTCCCCTGGGTTTTTCTTGCAACCTGATCTGGGCTGTCGGTCACCCAGTGTCACAACGTGACGGGAAAGGGGTGGCTGGGGTGGGGGAAGGGCATCAAGTTGTGAATTATTTTTTTCATGTAGCAGATTTCTCAGCACCATCAAAGAAGGGATTCTGATTCTAACTTTGCTTCTTTTCTTAGTTTAAAATGGATTGTAGAAAATAGAAAACAGAGTAGAAAGAAGAAAATTTAATTCTCACTTGAATTCTCCCTCCTGGAGATAAACCACCAGGAACGTTTTGATATAAATCCTGCCAGACTTTCCTGATTCAAGTACGAGCTCACACTGCGCATAACTTTTTTGCAGCCCACTTTCTTTTCTTAACGATACTGGGAGTTTTCTCCTGCTATGAAATGTTCCTCTGTGTCAGTCTGCATTGCCTGTGTGTCCACTGTATGCTCCACTGTTTACTGGACACTCTCACCAATGTCCTTTAAGATGACGACTATGTTCATGACTATAATTATTTCCTTAGGCTCAATTCCAAGAAATGGAATTTCTGTGTGAAAAATTTTCAAGGCAAAGATGCAGTTTTAAAGTAACCATGGTAACATACGTACTAAGCTAACTGATCAAACATTGGAATGTCCTGGAAGAGTTTTCAAAGTTTATAAAACTGATGTCTGTCACCGCCATCCCTCTCATTGTGATCACATAATCTGTTTCCCACTTGCCGTGAGTGTAAATTTTCAGCGATACATCATTCCAGGTTGTGTAGCTAAAGACTGTGACAATGACAATGGTGGTCATAGCTGGCACTTTACTCCTTCAAGTCTTTATAGCTGCTCTGCAGTAACATCACCCCGTTTATTTATTTTTAATATTTTAACATATCTTTATTGTTTTACTTTTTAAAAGGTTTTAATTGTTTTTCAAATGGAGGTGCTGGGGATTGAATCAGGACCCTGTGCATGCTAAGCACACGCTCTACCACTGAGCTGTACCCTCCCTCAAATTAGCCCCATTTTACAGATGATGTAACTGAGCATAACTTGTCCATGTAACTTGTCACACAGCGGAGCCAGAGTGCAAACCCAGGCAGCCTGGCCACAGGAACAACCACACTGTCACACTGTCACACAGTATGAAGTCTCCTTTGCTATAAGTACCAGCATCCTTATAGTCAGTGATTTTTTTAAGCATCATTTAGTGCTCCAGGCAGTGACTAGGGCTTTGCATATATTATGCATCCAAATATGTAATCTTCCCAGTAACTTTGTGAGATGAGAGACCTGGCCCGCTTTGTTCCAGGCCCTCCAGAGAGTAATCAGTGTGTCCAGAACTCACACTCAAGAGTCTGATTCCACAGTGCCTGGCCTCCTGCCCTGTGGACCCTCCCCCCAAGCAATGAGGCCTGGAGGGGGGTCCTAGGAGAGGGCTCTGAGGGTGACTCGTGGATGCTGACAAACACCCACCCCAAGTAATCAGGGAGGGGAGACTCAGACCCCCAGACACAAGTTTCCTTATTTCTTATATTCTGTCACTTCGCATCCTTCAGGTCTGCATAAATGTCATCTCTTGGCACCCTCCTGACCACTGTATTTTTTTAATTGTCTTTTTTTTAACATTTTTTATTGAGTTATAGTCATTTTACAATGTTGTGTCAAATTCCAGTGTAGAGCACAATTTTTTAATTATACATGAACATACATGTATTCATTGTCACATTTTTCTGTCCGCCGTGAGCTACCACGAGACCTTGTATGTATTTCCCCGTGCCATACAGTGTAACCTTGTTTATCTGTTCTGCATATACCTGTCAGTATCTACAAGTTTTTAACTCCCCGTCTGTCCCTTGCCAACCCCACCCCTTGGCGACCACGAGCTTGTGTCCGGTCACCACCGCATTTTGAAGGGCAGCCCTCACCCACCCCCGGGAGCACACTGCCTCCCTTCCCGGCTTGCTTCCTCCGGAGCTTCGCGGCGCCTGGCGGGCCAGGCCTGCGGCTGGTCCCGTCCTCACCACGCAGAAGCCTCCCCTTGGGAAGCAGAAGCCCCGGGACGGCGGGACGGCGGGACGCCGCTGCGACCCCCGGGCCTGCGGCGGCGCTCGGCGGGCGCCCGGCGGACCGTGAGTCGGTTGATGAGCGAGTCCTCGAGGCGGTGACGCCTGACGGAGTCAAGAGCCGGCGGGGAAGAGGCGCGGCAGCGCGGGCTGCCGGCCGGCGGCGGGCGCCGGGCCTCACTCCGCCTTCTGTCCCCCAGGTGTCGGAGGGCCTCGTGCGGCGGGACGGCGACTTCCTGGTTCGGGACTCCCTGTCCAGCCCCGGAAACTTGGTCCTGACCTGCCAGTGGAGGAGCCTGCCCCAGCACTTCAGGATCCGCCGCTCGGTGCTGCGGCTGAGCGAGGCCTGCCGCCGCGTGCAGTACCAGTTCGAGGCGGAGCGCTTCGACTCCGTGCCCGACCTGGTGCGCTGCTACGTGGGCAGCCGGCGGCCCGTGTCCCGGCAGAGCGGCGCCGTCATCTTCCAGCCCGTCAACCGGACGCTGCCGCTGCGCTGCCTGGAGGCGCGCTACGGCCCGGCCCCGGAGGGCGGCCTCGCCGAGGGAAGGCCGGCCGCGGCCAGGAGGCTGAGCCTCACCGCGGGCGGCCCCCAGGCCCGAGAGCAGGGCTTCCCCCGCGGCAACCTCCTCAGGTGAGGCAGGCCCCCTGGGCGGCGCTGGGCCCGTGGGGGCCGGGCTGGGCTCGGCGGCCGAGGCGCTGGCCCGGGAGCGGTGAGGGGCGCTGACGAGAATGCCGCGCGCTGCTGGAATAGCTGTCGCGAGGCAGCGCGATTGGTTCCCGGTTGAGGTGGTGCCAAAAGTAGTTGACGCCGTTGCTGACGAAGGGGAGGGCTGGCCGGGAGAGACCTCGGGAAGGAGGTAGGATTCCGGCTGGTTTGCAGGCTGGGAAGATAGGATGGATGCTGCCAAGGAGAGGGTGTCCCCACGGAGGGAGTGGGGCTCGGTGTGAGCGTAAGTGCAGAGGCAGGAAAGGGCAGGCTTGTGCCTGGAGTGAGTACATGGCTGGAGCCAGGCAAGGGTCCGCAGGGGGATGGCCGGGGAGGTTTAGGGAGGCCTTGATGGCCAGGCCAAGCGTAGGGTTGGAGAAAGCCTCCAAGGCTGGACGCGGGAACAGGGTGTCCTAAGAAGGGGGGGGGGAGGGCGCAGGAACACCAGCTAGTGAGTCGTGGGGGGCCAGGCTGTGCAGGCGGAGGGGAGCGAGAGTCAGGATCCCGCGACCAGGCCTCCCGCCTGTGGGGAGGATGGAGGATGGCGATCAGGACACCACGGGAGGGGCCGGCGTGCGTAGTCTTTGGAGGAAAGGCCAGTTGCTGCGTCTGAGATGCGGTGGTGGGCTCGCTGAGTGCCAGTGTCCAGCAGCAGTTCTGGGGTTCAGGAGGGAAGTTAGCCCCGAAGGCTTAGGTGGAAAGAGGGGTTGACTCGGTCAGAACAGATGAGATTCCTAACACAGGAGATTCCGAGATCCTGGGGGCTGCAGTCTGAGCCTTGGGGAACGGACGGAAAGAAGGGTTCAGAGAACCAGACGCTGAGCTGAGGGCCCGCCACCGACTCTCAGGGACGTCCCTGAATTCCTACAGGCCCCGCCAGCCCGCGGGGCGAGGAGTCCTTGTGCACACTGTCTAACTGCCACGAAAGGAAAGCAGGCAGGAGGGGGCACGGTAGGGCAAAGACCAGCCCAGCCCGTCGGTTACCCGCTCCCTGGCGTCAAAGCTTACCCAACACACTTGATTCCACCACTGGTTTATTTTCCTGGACCAGAAGGAACTGTCTTAAACTGTAGTTTCTAGACTACAGAAATTCAGAAGCAAAATACAGGGCCCTGAGAGCCACACCAGTGACAGCCGTGTGCTGCCAGGAAACTCTGGTAGGCGTTTGTCAGCATCTGGCTGCAGACCCTGCCGCCTGGCCTCAAACCCTTGTCCACCATTGACCTGGTCAACCCTGGACAAGCTACTCACTCTCTCTGGGCCTCGCTTAATTTGTCTGGGAAAATGGGGCTTTCGAGGGTTACGTGGTTTAGGATAAACAAAGTGCTTAGAACAGCACCAGCACACAAGAAGTGGTTGGTAAGTGTCGATACTCCTGCCAATGACTGTTTTCTGGGGAGCGGCAGAGTGTACAGCTCAAGGCAGTTACAGGGAGGGAGGCAGGAACTGCTATTTAGAAATTCTCCTTTTCATGGTAATAAGATGGGACATGAAATCCCTTAAGATATGAAAGGGTACCGTTCTTCTGTTTCTTTCGGGGGGGGGGTTGACTGCTGAGCTCATGAGCAGGGAGTTCATGTCATGAACAAAGCCAGGGTGACGCACAGAACCCCTGCAGGAATGTGCTGGGCGGGCCTCCTGGTCCACCCTCAGAGGCCTGGATTGAAAACACAATGTTTTTTTAAGATAAGAAATGAGGGGGGAGGGTATAGCTCAAGTGGTAGAGCGCTTGCTTGCGATGCACGAGGCCCTGGGTTCAATCCCCAGAGCCACCTCCAAATACAAATAAATAAGTAAACCCAATTACCTCCTACTCATAAAACAAAAAAAATGAAAGACTGAGAGTCTCTGAGTGGACGAGACAAGCCTAACAGAGCCACTCCGGACTGCCCTTTGAGAGCAGCCCTCCCTAAGCCTTGTCACCACTTGGCACAGGCTGCAGGCCCAGCAATGCCTCCGTGTGGGGCTGGGCCGGGCTCTACAGGAAAGGTGGCCCGATGCCCTGCCCCTCCGCCCACCCGAGGCCCCGCACCTTCCCTGACGTCAGGCGCGCTGGTTGGCCGCCGGCGGCCAAGGTGTGCACTCGACCGGGGATCCGGGCGGTGGAGTCTGACCGCTGGCGGTGAGCGCTGCTTAAATATCGCTCCACAGAAGCCACTGCTGTTTGGAATTTGCCCTCTGCCCTGCCTTGTCTCTGAGGGGTTGCCGGAATTCCTCTGTTGCTGGGCGCTTGGGGGTATCCTGGTTTTTCTTCTCCTCCTTGGCGCTTGCAAAGGTAGGAGAGAACTCCGTGATTTCTGTGACATAAGCCTGTGAGAGGGTCGGTTCAAGTTCATGACGACTTGGCTGGTGCAGTGCTTTCTGCTTTAGCAAAAGAGAGATTCTGCTCTTTGCTGCTAATTAGAAAAATCCGCAACCTGGGCCGGCACGGGGCAGAGGGATGCTAGCTAACCGTGCGGGAAGTTCTGTTCCCGCTTTCCCTGTGCGGCTGTGCTCCGTGACCCGCGTCCCTTTCCCCAGCGCCGCGGGAGGGGGCTGGCTGAGCGGTCCCCCCGTGGGGTCCTCCTGGTTGGGTTTGACAGCCTTCCCTGGGCGATCCTGGGGATTGACTAGGGGACGCGGAGATTTGCAGTGAAAGGGAAACTGCCCCACAGCTGCCTTCCTAACTGTGGCACTGTGAGGCCTGGTGGGAAACGCATGTTGCTTACACACGTCATTCCTCCCGGGTCTGTGAGCAATCTTAGGCTCTGTTAAAAGTACACATTCCCAGTCATCAGGTTTTCCTGAGAGTGTCGTGAAACCTCTAGCCTGCTCTGCTCAGCGGGATGGGAAGACTCAGAGCAGGCAGCCTAGGCCCGGGAGGATCGGTCGTGGGGACGGGGCCCACGGCACCGCAGGGTGTTCATCACCCCGCCAGTAATGTCCTCTGGCAGACGTTCCTTTACTGCAAGGGTTTGCTGGAGCACTCTCATCTGAGCAATCTTTTTTTTTTTTAAACTTTCCACAACGTTGCCTAAAGGTTTTACGATTTAATGATGTGTTTCTGCCCCGCTTGTCTTTTCCTTCAGAAATAAAGAGAAGAGTGGTAGCCAGCCAGCCTGCCTGGATCACATGCAGGACCGAAGAGCTTTGTCCCTCAAAGCCCACCAGTCGGAAAGTTACCTGCCAATTGGTAGGTCTTCGGGAGTTTGGGGGGGAGGAGGATGACAGAGTTCCCCTGCCCTCTGTGGTCACGCAACTGGCGAAAGACTAAGACTGTGTGCCTGCAGGCTGTAGGGTGAGGGCTTTGTAGACCTGTATTGAGATGTGACTCTCCGGGCTGTATGCACGCCAGCTTCTGGCCGCATCACATGCCTTCAAGGTGGGCTTGGTTATCCTCTTTGCCGCTGAGAAAACTGGCGCAGGTATTAAGTGACTTGTCCCTGGAGTCACCTGTCTAGTAAGCGGTGAGGCCAGCCTTTGAACTCAGGTTTCCTGATTCTAAGCCCAGTTTCTGACTGGTGGTCTTCAAGACGCACGAGCCTCCCCAGTTGGTCCCTCCCTGGGCAGAGGCCGTTGGGTCGGTCCTGGGGCCCCGGTGGAGCAGCTGTCCACAGAGACCCCTCCTCCTCTCCATTCTCCGTCACAACCAGAAGAGAGACGGTGTGGGATGTGGGGAAACCAACAAGCAATTGTGTTAACAGCCCGCGGGAGTGCTTTTCATTTTTGTAACTGACTTTCCTTGGGGACCACAGGTGATTTTCCTGATGCCCCTTCGTAAACTGCTTCACCGTGGGTTATCTCAGCGTCTTTTTCTCCTCCCCGCCTGTCGCTGGCTCTCCCCTACAGCCGGCTGGGCTCCTCCCCGACACTGGGAGTGATTCAGGGCCCCCGTTTATGTCACGTGGCTAACCTCCCAGGGCAAGGTTGGATTCTGCCCTCCAAGCTCAGTCTTTCCCTGTTCTGACTGTACTAACCTTCTGTGACATAAAATGACATTGCAGTCCAGCTGTCGGCCGTCAGTGGGATTTAGAATTCCCCCAGAAGTGGGGTGGAGCCAGCTTAGTCCTTAGCCTCCTCTTGACTGCCCTAGATCAGCCTGCAGTGAGCACGCTGAAGTTGTCTTTTGTGAGTGAAAATTGAAACCCCAAGGCATGAGTTGAGGGTGGGGAGCCATCCCGCCAGTTTTGTCTGCTTTGTGTCCTCTGCACAGCCGAGCTTCTGACCCTCTCTTACCCTCCACAGGTGGTAAACTGCCCCCTCAGTCCCTGGGTGTGGACACAAACCCCTGCCCCAACTCACCGGTTTTCAGGACGGGCAGCGAGCCCACCCTGAGCCCGGCGGTGGTTCGGAGGGTCTCCTCGGACGCTAGGGTGGGGGAGGCACTGAGGGGCTCAGACAGCCAGCTATGCCCCAAGCCGCCCCCCAAGCCCTGCAAGGCACCCCTCCTCAAGGCTCCCTCGTCTCCCTCCACCTGGCTCAACTCAGAGGCCAACTACTGCGAACTGAACCCAGCCTTGGCCGCCGGCAGCGACAGGGCGCCGGGGCCGCCCGTCTGTGCCCAGGACAGCTACGTGGAGCTGCTGACAGCCAAGCAGAACGGGCCACAGGGTGCCCGGAACTCTGGCACCAGCTACTCGATCCTTGACGACGATGGCGGGGCAGGGCCTTGGGGGCCACTGCCGGCACCGGGGCACAAGGGGCAGGAGGACCAGGGCACGTTCGTGATGCCCCTCCTGGAGACTGCCTCCTCGTTCAAGCCCAATGACTTCGCGTCGAAACTCCTTCCCCCTGAGAACAAGCCCCTGGAAATGGCCATGCTGAAGCGCGCGAAAGAACTGTTCACCACCCAGGACCCCAGGGTCATCGCGCAGTACGTGCTGAGCGTGGACTGCAAGGTGGGTGCCGGCGCGCGGGATGGGCTGGTGTGCGAGCGTTCCGCAGGGGGATTGGTCTGGGCTTCACGCCGCCTTACCTTTGCCCTGATGATACCTCGGGTGTGGGGGTTTATTTAAGGGGTGGGAACCAGAGGCCAGGACAACCCTTGCCCAGGCAGGAAGCTTGTAAAACTCACCTGGGACAGGGATGGCCGGCTGCCGCCTCCTCCCCACCCCTGCCAGTGTCCTTCCCCGGCTGGCGCGGATTTTTTAATTCTTCCCCGGCCTCCACTCCATCAGAACTGGGGAAGTCAAGCCCGAAGAAGACTAGACTGTAGATGAAGATGTAGCTTCTGGAGTAGCAGGGCCTCGGTGGCGTCTGTTTTATTATACATTATACATACGTACGTTGTATGTTGATTTCATTGTTACGAAAATGGTCATCAGGATAAACATTTTTAAAGTTACTTGCTCAATTCAGAAAAATTATAGAACACAATTGCAAGGTAGAATTTTAGAAAAACATACAACGTAGATTAAGAGAAAACACAAAAATCACACAAAATCAACATCTGCTCTGCAAACAGGTGCACATAAATCAGTGTGGGCACAGCTACTTGTTTTCCACAGAAAGGGCACCGGTCTGTACGTGCCGTTGTTCCACAGCCTTGTCTTTCGTCGAACAACATACCGCGACACTCTCTCCAGGTGACTGCCTAAGTACGTGTGTGCAGCACCACCACGCGTGACAGGAAGCACTGCCTCAGACACGGGCGGCTTTACTTCACAGGGGGCCCCAGGCAACCTCGTCCTTCAGAGAGAGGCTTCTAGGAAGCAGATGTTTCAGGCTGGGGGGCACTCAGCCCACCCTCAGTAGAAAGATACGGATCCCTTCATTTGAGCAACAGATAAGACCGTAGGGAGGTTTAAAGCCCTTTTCATTTGTATCTCAGTGAAGTCAATTAGCTTCAAAGGTCAGGGCTTATTGAGGAACTGGGTTTTCCTCAATAACTTTCCTGGGTCATGAATCAAGGCAGGAAATCGAGTCTCAGAGCACTGCCCCTGGGAGTTCCGCAGTTGACTGAGGCTCCCAGTGGTGCAGGGAAGCCCCCCCAAAACAGCTTTGAGGAGCATCAAGCAGGTGCTGGCTGTTCTGGGGTGAACGAACCCCTTCCTGAAGACAGGACTGAAGGTTCACTCGGCACCTCGTTGCCAGGCCTGGGAGGGGGTCCGCGCGTGAGGTGGGGCTGCACTGGGAGAGCAGGGCTGTTCGCACAGCTGGCTGGGTGTCCTTGGCCAGCGCCACAAGTGGTCAGATCGTCTGCCTTGTTAAGACCTTGCCTCGCTTTAAAGTGAGCCAAACCTGTCTGGGCAGCCAGAGGACTCAGGTCTCCTGTTCTGGGCAGTAACTCATACCGGGCCCTGGATCTGAGAGCAGAGCCCACAGGCCAGGAGCCTGGCACGACCTGCCTGGGTTCTCCATGGAGGAGGCTCCGCGGCGTGGGTCTGGGGTTACTGAACAGCCTAATTCCCGGGAGGAAGTGAATCCGTGTCCCTTGTGGCCTCAGGTGGGGCTTGGTGGCAGTCGAGGAGGAGGTGAGATGCCTGACCACCCCTGCAGGGGAGTCCAGGGCCTTCCCGCTGCCTCGGCAGCCGTGACACGAGCGCTGTGCCTGCTCTCAGCTGGAGGGTGTGCAGCCTGCCCTCCTTCCCGTCCTGTTTCTCTGTGTTCTGTCCTCCCGGTCTGCGTCCCGCTCCCCCGTCTGCCTTTAGCACCCCTGGAAGAGGGGCTGGACTGAGCCCCAGGCAGTGAGGCAGAGACACGGGCAGGAGCCCCCCCGTCCACATTCTCCCAGCCCCCAAAGGCAGGGCTGGTCAGCCTTCCTTCCTGCCTCCTGAGTCCGCTGCTATTTCTTTATTTTCTTCCTGAACCGCTGACTTCAGGACTTTGCCAACAAAGCAGGCGCAACTAGTGTCTCTAAGAGGGAAATAAAACAAAGGCTGCTGTTACCCAAATGCAGCAGCAGCCAGATGGGGCCACCTGGAAGCCGAGAGGAGGCACTGGGCATCTGGGGCCCAAGTGCTGACTCCCACCTGTGCACAGAGCCCGGGGGCCAGGACGGCGGGTGGTCCTGAGCACCCGGAGGCGGCCTGCCCGGCAGTATCCAGCCCCCTCCCTGGGCTGGGGCTAGCAGGGGTGTCCACTGAGCCCCTCCCACCCTGCAGATGGGCATCACCCTGGCCTCTCGCCCACCTGCCTCTGCACAAGCTGTAAGGGAGGCCCAGCGGTCAAGGGCCTAGCCCCCGGGGATGAACTGCCTGCATCTAATGCTGCCGCTCCTTGCCCCTTGGGTCTCTCAGCTGAGACGAACGCCACAAGCCCAGTGGTGGTGAGGGCTCACCCCCTCGCACCTTGGCTGCCCCAGAGTGAGGCTGCGTAAGGGTTTATCGGTGTTACACACTGAGCCTTGATTGAGCGTCTACTGTGGGCCAAGCCAGGCCTGGTCATGGTTGAAGAGGCAGAAGCGACAGTGATACAGGAATTTGGACCACAGCCCAGGTGGGAACTGCTCTGCAAAGGAAGGCACTGGAGCTGTGGGGCCTCTGAGGTAGGGTCCTGAGCGTGGGGGAGGGAGCGGGTCAGGGTGGGCACATCTGAGATGAGTTCTGAAGGCTGAATAGGAGTTGGCCTGACGAAGAACACAAAAAGCACCTTCCAAGTGGCAGAGAGACACACAGACTCAGAGGTCAGAAGCCATGGGGCGAGGGGCCGGTCTGTGGAGGATTCGCTCCGTGTGGGCAGTGCCAGGGGGATAGGGGTCAGCTGGGGAAAGGCCAGGAAGGTCTTCTCTTCAATGTTTTTGAGTCTCTACTTCTGGGATTCGGCCAGATTGCTGCCTTCAGAACACCTTGCAGCTCGGTGAGGGAGACGGGCCGGTGAATGCATAGGGCAGGGCAGAGCCCTCTGCTGAGGGCAACGAGGAGGAAGCAGAGCCGGGAGGTCTCACTGCGCTGTAGATGGTCCCCTGGCAGCTGGGAGGAGGGCCGGGCCGGTCCCTTGCGGGCTCCCCTAGGTCACCGCAGCAGCTCCCGAGACAGTGGGATGAGGAACACGCAGCGCTGAGAGATCCCGCTGAGCTGGGAAAGCTGGTATCAGAAGAGCAGAGGGTGGCCGGAACGCCTCATCGTGGGGCACTAGTACCACCTGCCCTGCAGGTCTAGCTCACAGTAAGTGCTCTAGAAGGGTGTGTCCCCTCCGCAGCCCCGAGCTCGTGGCCTGGCTTTCCCCGGAGACCTAACCAGGCCCTGCACTGTGAGCGCAGGACCCCGTGTCCCACAGCTTGGCCGTGGGGCAAGCAGACGCCAGCGCTTCCTGGTACCAGTGACCAGGGGGCTGCGTGTTTGTACTGAAGGAAAACAGTCTGGGCGGAAAGCACCTTCCAGAACAAACCTGAGCCGGTGACAGGCCTTTGACCCTGGTGTGCGGGGACAGGAGGACGCCCGTGGGTGTGCTGGGTTTGGAGCCTCTCGATAGGGCAGGTGTCTCGACAGGCAAGCAAATGTGTGTGATCGCAGGTGGCTGGGGTGTGCGTCTGGGCTGCCCTGCCATGATCAACGTGTAAATCTCTTTCCAGAGATCGGGCCAGGATTCTTCCCCCTTCCACATGGCCAGTGAGTCACTTTTGAAATAGCTGTGTGGGGTTTGAAGGTCACGGATCCTTGGCAAAGTTCTTGAGAAAGGTGAACTTAGCAGTTGTGTTAGAGGAGAGGAAGCAGGCTCAGAGAGCAGAGTCCGCATTCTGCATCCTGTTCTGGAGTCTGACGCCAGTCGCTCCTTCCCCAGGGCTGACAGTGGTTCTTTTGTTCAACCACAGAAGTCGAGGGTCAAGGTTAATAATACCAGCTAAACTTGCAGATGTTTTCTCTGGCCTATTGTGAAGACACCTGGACTTCTCACATGCCCGGGAGAATTATGGCCAAGGACAGCCCCACCAGGTCAAGGAGGGGAACTGCCCCGTGCCTGTCACGTGTCCAGGGCTGGTTCGACCTGCTGTATCTACTGGTTGTACTGTTAGGACGTCAGTGCGCCGCGCCGTCAGCCCTGTTTCAGAGACGCCCTGTCTCAGCTGTGGTATTGGGAGGTAACGTGTAGTAACTGTAAGTGGTCAGTTAATACCTGATTCCAGTAAGTTGTTAGAACTGAGATGGGGAGAGCTGGCTGGGACAGAGGTTTTCTTTAAGGAAGACCTCTCAGGGAGAAGCGGATTGTGTCTGAGACCTCGGGTTTCACATGGTACACGTTTTTAACAGCTTCCAGACGTGGAGTGTGTTCCCTGAGCCCAGGAGAGGCGTGACTAAGGGGCACAGGGGCCAGTCCTGCCGTTCATTGCGGACAGGGACAGCGGAGCAGCACTTGGCCGCGGCTCCGCTCTTCCCCCGCGGGGTCAACCCGCTCGGAGCACACACGGCCGGCCGCTGGCAGTCGGAGGAGGCAGGGGATCCAGCCTGTGTCAGACAGAAGCTCGAGGAACTACGTCAAACACCAAATGTGCAGGTTCTGCAGACCAGTCTAGGTGCTTTCCTTCCAGCTTTAATAAAATACATTCCAGTCTGTGTACTAAAAATCCTCCAAATATCATATTTAAACTGCACTTTCAGATGCTGCTGCTGAAAAAGAGAGGCAGGAAGTGCATCCACACTGTCCCAGCTGAGCGCACTCCTTCCCACGGGCTGCGTCCTCGTTTGCGGCGAGCTCACTTCCTGGTCCAGTTGGTTTTGACTTGTGTTCTTGACAGGTCGTGAGGATACTTGACGTGTCTGAAGAGATGAGGAAGAGCATGGGCGTGAGCTCAGGGCTGGAGCTCATCACCTTGCCGTACGGCCACCAGCTGCGCCTGGACATCATTGAAAGGTGAGCAGTGCGGCGGTGCATCTCCGGCCCCTCCAACTCAGCGGGCGGGGAGAGGCAGGGCACCCGCCCCCCCGGGGCCGCCTCGCTAGGGGGCCTGTGGCCCCAACGGCCTTCCCTGGAAGCTGTGGCCAGACAGTTCCTGCAGAAGCACAGAGAGGCAGCACAGAGGACGTCAGGGAACCGAGATCACGCTCCTGTCCCTGCTCCAGGGGCAGGCGGAGGAGCGCACAGAGCGTCGGCCTGGGAGCACGGGTCACCTCCTCCCCTGGCGGCCGCGGACCAGGCACCTCACAGAGTGGCGGCTCCTTTGTGCCTGCAGTTCAGGACTGCTTTAGGAATTAAGGGGAGTTTGTGGGGAAGGCTGGGAAGACAAGAGTCTGAACAGATGAGGGGTCAGAGGTCGGGGGGTGACAGCACCCGGGGCCCCGCCCCAAGGCATCACGGCCCTCATGAAAAGCCAGGGCCCCGGCTGTCCGCTAAAACTCACTCCTGTGAACGCTGGGTATTTAGAAATTAGAAACATAGAAGCAGCGAGGCATGTTTTTAAGAAAAACACTGTACTAGCCTCTCACATTACATAGAGGTTGGCCTTTTTGACGCACCAAAAAGACAGTCAACTTGGGTGAAACTGTCTTGTTATCGTGCATCTTCTGTTTTTCCAACCTGTTTCCCAATTGCCACGACACCCGTGTGGTCTTGAACGGACAGCCAAGGCCTGGCTTTTTGTGAGAAGAAGGCAGTGATGCTTCAAAGGCCGGGGGCTCGAGTGCCGCCACCCACTGCCCGTGGCCTCCCGTGATGGGCTGGCTCACAGCACCGTCCAGTGCAGCTCTCTGTGATGGCCGAGATCTCATTACAGTGGCCACTAGCCACACGTGGCTCCTGAGCACCTGAAATGGGGCAGCTGAAGGACAGTGTTTATTTTACTGTTTCAAGTGTAAACAGCCACATGTGGCCCGTGGACAGTGCAGTCCCGGGATGTCAGCCCCTCCAAGTAAACGCTGTGTCTCAGACAGACACACCGCTGCTTCCCAGGTGACCTGGTGATGAAGCAGCTGAAATGGCTCCCAAGCCGCTGTCACTCTGGCTTCGCAGCCACGGACGCACCCACAGAAGGCACCCGGAGGGAGTGCAAGTGGAAGGCCCTGGGGGGCGGGTTTGTTCAGGCGTGCTTGCTGGGTGTGGGGCAGTGGTAGGTCCGACTTCTGAGCATTCCTCCATTCCCTGATCAGACTCTTCTGGGCGCTAGCCTCTCTCTCCTGGCGTCCTCTTCGCTCCTCGCGCCGCAGGGGCCTGGCTTCTCACTTCCCCTGCGCTGCCCTGTCCCGCTCGGGCCCGGTGGTCCCGGTTTCAGCAGAGAGCAGCTGTGCTGCCGTCCCTGTGTCTCATGTGACAGTTTCAGCCTGAAAAGCCCCGAGGTGCAGGCCTGATTTTATCCAGGTCACTAGGTGTGCTGGGCTGCTCCTGGGCCCGGGCTGAGGTCAGCAGGCTTGGGGCTTCTCTCTGGGCTATTTTCTGACTTCCCTCTTGTCTGCGTCCGCTTCCTCCTTCTCCTGACGACCGCCTGCCTGCGGTCTCGCTCCCGGCCTGGCTTCCCGTCCAGGGCTGACCCGTGCAATCGATGCTGGGGCCTGGGGAGCGGTTTTCTCCATTACAGCGTGTTTGCTAAATAAAGGCCAAGGTTGTAGCAGTTCTAGAGGATCAGATGGCAGTCTTGTGTCTGAGAATCAAAATCAAACCACCCTTTATGTTCTAACTCACCGCCTCACCCACCCCAGGCCTCCGAGTGGGGTGACCTTCCCCAGGCCGGAGACGAGGGCTTCTGCCGCAGGCCCGCTGTGCTGAGCTGTTTTCCCACAGTGGGGTTCGCAGGAGATTTCAGGCAAATGTTGGCTGAATGAATGGCTGTAATTACCCAATTGACCATTGATAGAACGCCAGGTCTTAACAAAGTAGAGAACCTGCCTTTTATTGAAGGCCATTAAAACACAGGAAAAAACACTGAATAAAGAATCAGGTGAAGGCAGCAGGGGAAGCTGGTTTACTGTTCGTTAAAAGAAACATCTAAAATGTTCAGCTTAACCTTAACACTTTGCAAATGGGTAACAAAACTCTTCAATAAGAACAACAGATAATAAAAGTACACTTTGAGTCTATTTAGAATCCATTAATTAAGAAAGACAAGAAATCAGGAAAAGGAGATTAAAAAAAGAGAGACAAATGGGCAAAAGGGACCAATACAGAGGGAAAGAGATGTGCACGTGGAGACACCTGCAGTGACTACAATTTGCCAGGCACTTTCAATTATCTCTACACCACATAGCCCTTCTCACAACCACCCTTCTCCCATTTTAGAGATGAGTAAACGGAGGAGTGGAGCAGCTGGGAGCAGCCTAGGTCACATTCCAGGCGCGCACTCTGCACACCCACAGGCCAACACACTCAGAGACAGCAGAGCCCAGCGCTGACGCACGTCAGGGAAACGAGGGGGCCAGGCACGAGGTGCACCCGCCTCTCTCGGCTCTGGGAGAGCGAGACCAGCACACACGGGCGCAGAGAAGCGGGGCCCTGGAGTGACATCCTTAGCTCTGAACTTCCAGGACAGGTGGCCCCAGAGTCTCAGAGGCAGGCTGTATTTTAGTCACCGTAGCTGTGAGTCGGGGCTTCCCCTCCAGCACTTGTACCACAGCCTGGAAGAAACTCACCTGAGGCCCATCCGACCCGAGGCAGGAAGTCCTGTTCCCGGTTTAGGGAAGGAAGGAAGGAGAGTTGCTGCAGTCTGTCCCTGCCACCAGGAAGGAGACTGCCGTGTGACCCCCTGCACGTGCTGCCATTGTCTGGGGAGACAAAGACCCCTCTGCTTCCTGTTCTGGGTCTGCGAGGGTGACTTGTGTCGTCCCGGATGAGAAAAGGGAGGATCGTTAGCAGATACAAGATTTCAGTTTGCTCGGGTCTGACCTTGCTGGGAAGTCCCGCCGGTCCACTGTTGAGTCTGTCCACATCTCCATTCACTTCCTGGCCTCTTGACCGGAGCCACAGACACTCCATTCTTAGCTCCTCACTCCTTGCTCTGTTCTGACACCCCTGTTGTCTTCTGGGATCAAGCATACTCTCTGATTTTTCTGTCCCTTCCACCCCCCAGTCTAGGGGGCGCGTGGAGGTGGCCAGGGCTTCCTTGAGGAAGGGTTCCCCAGCGTGCTGGGGGGACGCAGTGTACTGAGGACTTCTCATGGTGGAAGTTACATTGCTAAGCAGTGTCTCCCCAGGAGGGCCCTCTGGTTCGGGGCTGAACGTGCCCTGTTCTGGGGCATGTGTCCTGTTCGACTCTGCTTAGGACACCCTCTGAGGCTTCACCCAGGCCTTGATGCAGTCGGCCTGGTAGGGGTGGTCTCTGTTGAAATTGGCGGCCAAACTGTGAGCAGCCAGTGCACCTCAGGGTGACAGCAGCAAACAGTGCAAAGCCAGTCTGTGCCCTGGCCAGTCTGGTTTTGTTTCCCCTAGTCCTGTTGGCCCCGGGCCTGATGGCTGACCTCCTCCCCCTCAGACACAACACGATGGCCATCGGCATTGCAGTGGACATTCTGGGCTGCACGGGCACTTTGGAGGACAGAGCAGCCACCCTCAACAGGATCGTCCAGGTGGCGGTGGAGCTGAAGGACTCCATGGGGGACCTCTACTCTTTCTCAGCCATCATGAAGGCCTTGGAAATGCCGCAGGTAAGCTTCTACTTACCCTGTGCAGCCCCGGGGGCCTGGGTGTACTCAGTGTTCTGCAAAGTGGTCTGCAAGCCCACGCTTAGCAAGTCAGATGATTTTAGTCAGTCTCGAAAGGTAAATGGAATCTTAGTGAAAGCTGCGTTGATTTGGGGGCAACCAAGAGCAGTGTCCTAAGTATTTTGGCTGTTTTTAAAAACAGCAGATAAATGCTGACAGCCTGCACTTTCTCTTTGATGTACTATGAGCAGAGTCATTCTCAAAAACAACCCTGAGGTGTTCCTGAAGAGCCAGTCAGATGACACATCTGGCTCAAGTGTGTTGTGTAAGAGAGGCTGCTTCTGTCCAGGTCACTGGGCGTGCGGGCAGTTTGGGGTGACGACTGCGAGACTGAGACGCTTGGGGAGCTGATCTCTGAGCATCTGTAGTGTGGTTTATCTCAAAGTACTTTCCTCAGATCACCTAAAACAGACTCTCCTGTTAACACCTTCAGATACCTCGCCCGTCTGCCGTATAAGCCCAAGTAGAGTCTCTGAAACTGGGTACTTTGAATTTACCTGCTTTGACAGGCTGTTTTTAGGATGAGTGTGAAAACTGAAAACCTGTCTTTGAAATCAAATGGACCTCACAGAGGAAAGCGGTCCTGTTGTCCCGACTGCTCGGAGTTGGCTCCCCAGTAGCGCCGAGCCCTCGGTGTTCAGGCGACTGAGTGCGAGACTGCAGCCCACAAGCCCAGGCTGCAGCCAGTAACCCCAAACTGCTGGTCGTTTAGCTTGGCTGTTTCACAGCCACAGATTGTCCCTCAAGTCCTGCCAGGAGCTCACCGAGAACCCACTGTTGCCACTGGGGAAGACAGTCCTGCAAGTCAGGCCACGTTAGGAACATGATTTCCTTGCATGAAAGCAAGGTAACCTTTCAAACAAGAAGCTGGACGATTCTGTG